TCATTAAAAAACAAGGCCGCCTTTTTTTTTTATTATGCAACAGATCTTTTGTTTGTTTGCTTCAGATCCATCTGTTTGTGAAGGGCAGCCAATCAGAAGAAAGTTGGCTTAAAGGGGTTTTAATAGACTTAAAACATCAAATTGAGGACCAAATCCTAGTATGACAGAAACAGGGATTATATTAAATCATTCAAAGCTGCTCTAGTAGATTCCAACACTAAAATGATGGAGTTGAAAATTGAAAACATGTCCCTTTGAGCTGTAATTTACAACATAAACAGCAGCTGGGATATTTGGTGGCTTCATAAAATGTGTAATACAAAGTCTAACTACTAATTAAAGCAAAAATAAATATATAAAATAGCGGATTTAAAACTGGAGATGCATCCTTTCTGTAGTAGTATTTTGCTTATGATGAGAGCCTGTAACAGAGCATCCTATTGCTTTTCTCAGGAAACGCTTCAGCCAATCACTTGGCTTCTTGCAGCAGCTGTCAGATCAGAGGGCCAATCAGATGTCAGCTCACAGCACCAAGTGGACTGTCATTATGTCTGAGTGATTCCTCCAGTGCCTCGAGGCAGCTTCCCAGGATGCACCTCTCTTCCTGCCGCAGTGACTTGACCACATTTAGCTGCTCCCTAATTGGCTGCTCACATTGTTGGAGGAGGTGTGAGACCTACACAAACACACACACACACACACACAGTGCAGGAGAAAAAGGAATCAGGTGATGTGCTGCAAAACAGGGGCAGAGTTAAATTCATGCACATGTGCACACACCTTATCTAGTGCGCTGCATGTGTCTTGCAGTAGTCGCTGACAGAGACTCTTAGCCATCTGGACGCTCCACTGCTCGCTCTCCTCACACACCAGCTGGCCGAGCAACACTGCCTTCCACTGGTGGCTGTAAATCACACACACACATGTTCAGACACACTCCCCAGACAGAGAAACTGATCCAGATTGTGACTGGACGTCCAGATTTTGGAGCAAAACACATCGATGTACATGTATAAATGTGTGTTGAGGCTTACTACAGTGTTTGTGGCAACGACAACAGCCTGAGAGCCGTCATCAGCCTCCAACTGGGACCGTCACTGGACACAGTGAGATTACTGGCAGGAAGGCAGGAAACATATGAAGGCATTTTTCCATTTTGCAGTTGTATCAAAGTTAAGTATTAGTCCTGTTTACAGCTGAATCATTAAGTATGTAAAGCGAGTCTTACTGAAGGAAACTGTTCTCTCTGAGAAACTTGATCTTCTGAGTCAAACTTCTGTCGCCTCTTAAAACATCACAGAGCAGATCTGAGGGACCACAGTGAAACACACGAGGCAAACAGTTTTTCATATTTTCTCTTATATATCTAATGTTACACTGGCAGATGCAAATAATAAACATGTTTCCAAAGTTTTAAATAATGAGGTCGGTGTATGTGCAAGTAATCCCTGTAAGCAAAGGCTTAGGCTTCATAACACTGCTTTAAACACTCGTTTTAAATTAAGTTTTCCCCCGTTTGCTTTGTAGCAGTGAGAGCGGATGATGGCTGTTTGTGAGAGGTAGCCAATCAGAATGAACTTAAAAGAAGAATGAAGGAAGGGAAACAGCTCGTTTCAGATTACCAACATGTAAAGTAATGACCTATTTTCAGTCCAGG